GGGGGAGGAGGCGGAGGGGCAGGGGGAGGAGGGGGCAGTTCCCGGGTCAGCGAGGTCCAGCGAAATGTGGGTTCCCTTAGGATGGACCGTCTCTTTTCAGGGAGTGGGACTGGAGTAGGTAGGGGAGTTGGAGCACATGGTGGAGAAGGGGCTGGTGCTGGTTCCTGGGGGGCGAGTGGGGAGATGGCAATGGGAGGCCGCGGAGTAGGTGAGACCTCCACCTTTGGGGGTTTGGGGGGGTCTTCATCCATAAATCGCCGGGGTGTCTTGATGACACGGGAGGACCGGGCACTCACCACAGGCATAATAAACTGTCGGATATTCTTGAGGAAGGTGGTGCTTTTGGGGGCCACAGTGGGGCTGTCTTCCAGAGGGCCTCCTGTGGTGGTGCTAGGAGTTGGAGTGGGAGAGGTGCCCTCTGGCCCTGCCCGAGCAGCTTCCCGTTCTGCCCGCTGGCTGGGAGTCAGGGGAGGCCGGCCCCTCTTCCTAGAGCATGTAGCTGGGATCACAGGAGATGGGGATTCTTCTTGCTCCTCTGGGGCAGGAGGCGGTAGAGGGGATGGTGGGGGCGGAGGGGTCACTGAGGGTGGTGGAGGGCAAAATGGGGATGGAGGAGATGTTGAGGGGGAGGGGAGGGGAGGAGGAGGGGGAGGAGCTGGAGGAGTCAGGGGTGGTGAGGGCAGCTTTGCCTCTTCCTTTTCCTTGGCTAGCATCATCTCTTCCTCAGTTACAGCTCTCTCTTCCTTCTCTTCCCCCTCTTCTTCGTCTTTCTCTTCTTCTTTCTCCCTCTCTTCCTCCTCCTCCAACTTTTGCTCCTTGCTCCAGCAGGGGTCCTCTCCCTGTCCAGATCCAGCTCTTTCTTGGGGGGCATCCTGCCAGCTTTCCTCATGTTGATCTTGACCCTGACCTGATTCAAGTCCCAAGGACAAGCGTCCCATCTTCACTTTTTTGGCCTTTGAAACAAACTTGATCACAAGAGGGAGCCCGCCTCGGCCTCGGCCCCTGCCTCCACGGCCTCCTCGCCCAGATTGTCCTCCACGCTTGGGGGTCCCAGGTCCTGGGCCAGGCCCCTCTTTGCACTTCCAGCTGCCAGTTCGGTGTTTTACTGGAACCACAGGGGGTGGAGGCTCAGGTTTGGGGATTGTCACAGCTGCTTCTGCCACCATTACTGCTTGTTGCTTCTTACGGCAGGGGCCTGCTGGCCTTCCTGGGGGCCGCCCCCGAGACCGACGGGGGGTGGAGGGCTCACATGCCCGACTTCGGGGGGCTGGGGGTGCCTGGGCCCGCCGGAGAAGTTCAGTCAGTGCCTGCACCATCCGTTCTGTGCCCTCCTCTCCCCGTTTCCGGGCAGGAGTCTTTGTGGGGGTAGGAGCCACATCGACTAGGCGAGGAGGTGCAAGGGGGCTCGTCTTATGCTTGCGGCCCCGACCTCGGGGGGCTCGACCTAAAAGGAGAATAGGTGTGGGGAGATGGGTCAAGCTAGCCCTGCAGGCTGAGGAAGGCGCTCCAGGAGGGCGGGGACTAATCCTACTTGTCTGTTTCCCCCACAGCCCAGCCTAGCTTTGGCTTTGAACAGAGAACATACTCAGTAACTGATGGAGACTCTAATTGAACAGGGAAGAGCTGACAAAAAGAGTGAGAATAACATTCCTGTAAAGCTATAGAGGTAGAGTTTCCCCATCACTCACCTCGCTGGGACCGGAGCGCAGAGCGCAGGGAACTGGGGACCACATCTTCATCTGAATGAAAACCCTGAAACTCCTGATTTAGGGGACCAAGGGTGGAGGGGAGAAACAGCAGTCAGTGCCAAAGCCCTAGTTCCACCTGAGACTCATGTATCGAGGACTATCCCCAGCTTCCCCCTTAATATACCCCTTCCTATTTACAAAAGAACCGAAGACTGGAAGGTGAAAGGGAGTAGAAAACAGGGTCTCTCCCTAGGGATGGAAACAGGACATTTTGAACCCCCATCTCCTATGCCAGACCACACCAGCACAGCCATCAGTTGCCTGCTGGTCCAAAAGGAAACAGAACAGGGTCTTCTCAGGCCATGCAGGAGACACTACCCTCAGCTTCTCTCATACTCCAATTTAGGAAAAAAGTGGGACCTCCATTTACATCCTCACAGGTCGTAGTTTCTTCCTGAATGAAGATGGGAATAGGGCCACCCAACCATGGTATGTGTGTGTGCGTGTGTATCAAATGGTTTATCAAATTAGGATCCATTCTGAGCCCTCAGGTGGCTACAAACTCCTTAGTAATGCAACCCACACCTTCCTGCCTTTTCTGAGGCTGGGGATAAATCCAGAGCTGAACTCAGACCTGCCAGAGTGCCCAGTCTCAGCCTTCATTCCATTTCTCTTCAACCTATGCCCCTAAGAGGAAGCCCTCCACCATTCTACCCTCTCTCCTCTTTAGGTCAGAAGAGGAAATGGGGGCACACTGGTGAAACCAGGGCTGTGTCAGAGGTTATGAGGCTGGGCGGGGCAGCTTACAGGTAAGAACCCAGTGAGCCTTAGTCTGAGTCCTCTAAAGCCTCGCTGCTGCTGTCAACCACCACTGGCTGGGCATGCAGTCCCCCTAGCCTTCTCGCCCAAACCTCTACTGCCCTAGCTTTGCCAACTACCAAGAAGGATCAGCCCAGGACACTTCAGCAGGACCCACCTCGGGCCCAAGTGCCCAGCTGCAGCTCGGGCTTCTCTACCCACTTGCAGAGGCCCCTTCCACCGACAGCTCCGTGCAGCCTACCACCTCCCATGCCTATTTCCAAGGCCCTTTTCCTCCGCAGGGGCCCTGTGGACCCCGCTTCCCCACGTCATTCTTCGGGGCCACCCAGACCCCTGGAAGCCCCCGGCCTCCGCCCCGCCCGGCGCTGGGGACGCCTCTGACTGTCTCACCTCATCGTCGGATTCCCCGTCACTGCTCTCCTCCTCCGGCAGGCAGCCCCGGCTCGGGCCCCAGCCCCGACCCCGGCCCCTGCCTCGACCCCGCTGAACGCGCGGGCCGGCCCACAGGCGGCGGAGCCGGCGCAGGCCCCGGCGGAGCCCCAGCAAACGGAGCAGGGCCGTGTCCTCCCCGGGCTCGGCTCCGCCCGGCCCTGCCGCGCCGCCGCCGCGCCGCAGAGCTACCCGCACTCTCTCGGCCCCGCTGCCCCGTCCGCCGCGGCCCCCGCCCCCGCCGGAGCCCCGCGGCCGACCCGGGAAGCGGCCCCGCGCGGAGCCAG